CTCAAACAGTAACTTCAGCTCATATTGGGCCACACCTTCAAGGATGTCATGCATAATGTCCAAAGAAAAATTATGACAAACATGAAAGAACTGTAAGCTGTTAAGAGTTGAGTTGTTTTTCAAACCAAACACAGATAACTTCTGTGGGTCTGACTGCAACTCATTGCAGTGCAAGTCAAAAAGTTCTTTTCCACGCAAGATTATCTTGGGGTCATCCTCACTGTAAACATTCTGGGCATCATGTTTTTCTATTAAACATAATCGACAAAAATGACGTCCACTGAAAGATTCTGTAAATCCCAGAATTGCATGCATCCCCAAGTTGTCCCCAGTTACCTGGCATATAGTGCCATGGACTTTTTCAGCAGAAAAGGGCAAATCAAGGCCACAACTCTCAAGTGTTTTTATGTCATTAATCAGTGGCTCTAGAATAGGATTAAAGCCATATTTTTTCAAATCTTCAGTATGAAACAATGAAACCAAATGAATGTTCATCAAGGCAGAGTTAAACTTTGGTGGCAGATTTCTAAGGACAAAATACAGAGCGCCTATTTTGTGAACACCACGTTTTGAACCAAGTGGGTTTGCAGTCTCAAAGTCATCATAGAACAACTGGATTTGTAAAGAATGCGAGTGTTTGGAGAACAATGGATGAGTCTTATAATAACTTCCATCACAAAAGTCTTCATATCTGTCAGGTCTTGATATAGAAGCTTCGCTAAGTAGATTACAAATATCAGCATTTTGGCACATGAATTTTATAGTTTTCAAAATTGGTATGTAAACAAATGTATTCCTCACTGGGACTTGATCATAAGTACCTGTTTGTTTATTTCGTCTTGTATCAAATCGAACACCTAGAAATTTTTCGACTGGCTCCACAACACTCCATTTGTTTTGGAAATAATTCAGTCTTTTACTTTCAGTACTGAAGTTAATAAATGGGTTTTCAAAATTCTGCAGATCTTTTTCCAATGTAGCTCTAACTGGATTATCCTTAGGCACCGCAGACAGTACTTGCTCCTTAACCTGAGAGTGAAGTCCACTAGCAAGATCTTCCAAATCACCAACAACTGATGAAACAACACTATTTGGTATGCCACTTCCTTGAAGTTTAGCTATTATTGAAGCACAAATATTTTCTGTATTTTCTTTGTTTCTTTGGCCTGATCCATTGTCATCCAAACTCTCAGACTCTGAATTGCTCATGACACTTGTTCCAGCAACTTCTGAAGTATCTAACATGTGAGTATTTTTTTGAAATAACTCTGACCTTGCTGCATTCCCACTTCGACAAGAATCTTTCTCATGACAACTAATTAAATGTTTTTTGAAACCTGAATATGTTGAAAACTGACGCCTACAACGATCTTGTGCACAAATTAACTTAAACCTGGTGCTAGGGTAAAAACTGTGATCAAGTCTTAAATG